TTTATCAGTATATATATGACTTAAATATTTTTAAGTATCTTAAAGTTACATGCTTTTATTTTCGTCTTGTTATTTTAATTACAGCATATATTTTTGAAATTCTATAAAATTGGTAAACTAATCGGGTTAAAAATGAACGGGAATGCGAAGGTTAAAAAATCTAATAATAAATATCCCTTTCACTCATTATCCCTCATTCATTCATAAAAATTCCTAATAATATACCTCGCCTCCCGCCTTTGTATACAAAAAATCTCTCAGCGATTTTTACCTTTAGTCCCTTGTAATATATAGAAGCTATATAAAACGGTAGTCTCACAAACTTGAATCCGATCTATCCTATATCGTCAGGTGACGGATCGATCGACGAGACCGAATTCAGCAAGGTGTGCAGCAGTCACGGCGTTGACGAGGCCGAGGCACGTGAGGCGTTCAAGAAACTGGGGGTGGTGAGTATCAATCAAGCGGAAAAGAAAAGAAAATAAAAAGAAGAGCATAGTGTAACGCGGTATCGAGCCTTACAAAACTGTTTACTTCCTCGCAGGGTAAAGAAGTGACTCGCGAAAAATTCGCCGATCTATGGAAGCAATATTTCTGCTCCGACGACCCGAACGTACCTGGAAACTTTATATTCGGAAAGACTTCTTTCTAACTCCGCTACCCCGTGTAATTGAAAAAACGCGCATATATATATATTTTACAGCAGGTTATTTTATGTGAATGTATGAATTGCTAAAAAGATAGGCGCAAGACTCTGTGTAATCTACTAGTCAAAATTCTATTTCGTTTATTGCTCTCCCGTGTAACCTCTCATATTGAAATAATATAATTATAATTAAACGAGATCGCGAGAGAGAGGAGAACTTTATATTATCTTCCTGCTCTTTATCACCACTCTCCGTATAGTTACGGCGCGTTTAAATCTCAGTTACTATTCTAAAATAACTTTGCCAAATTGAACGAAATTTCACGCGAAAATTATATTTCCAGTTTTATTTATCTCGTTACCAAATTTTTATTATATGCGCGATCAATTGATACTCAATAAAACACAGAGTTAACGGCATCGATTAAATCTAGTTTGCAGCTTTTCCTTCCGTTACTCTACATAACACGTTGTCCCTTTAAACGGCATTTGCAACGATTTCCCAAACTATCAATTTCAAACTTGTCGTTTTCCATTTCTGACATTCTACACGGCCGAAATAATTCGAAAAATCAAACAAGATGTATTAATTTCTTCGACTGCAAACTTTCCTACGCTAAATATTTCATAGTGAGTACGTGCTAGAATTAAGTATCTTTATTATCTTTACGGCGCATATCGATCCATCACCGCCGAAGAGCTAATTACGTCGTATAACGTGTAAATAAACGCCCATGCGAATTATAAAAATGGTTACGCTGTTTCGATACGCGAATAGAGACGCGGCCGGCGATAATTTAGAAGTGCGTTTTTCGTTGCATAATTTCGTCAAGTAAATTCGTTAAAGTCTCTCTTGTTACGGCGATCTCGTTTTGAATGCGTACTAATTATAAAAGACATCCGGTTGTACAATTCGCCGAAATTGATTGGCATTTGGCGCCAGAGAAAAAAGCGAGGTTTCTCTCCGGTTTGCGAAAAGATATTTGGAGAACTGAAAACAAACGGTACCCGTACCAAACACGCGTACCTCTGGCAATCGTGGTATGTTTTTTTCCAAAGCACTACGGCTTTCATTCGCTTTACATTACCGCCCTTTAATTTTGTCTTGTACTTTTATGTAGCCTTCTTTTTTTTTGTTTTAAAATTTGAATCGTTTTGTTTCGGTACATCCGGAATATTTTCGCATTGTTGAAAAGGGGGATTGAATTGTACTACGAAAAGCTATGCGTATACGAAAAAAAAAAAAAAGAAAAAGGGAACTGTCCGGAAAAAATGTAAAGGAGATTGATAAACGCACGCTATTCGATTGTCTGCTCTCCATGCAATGATGGGATTGTTATTGTGTTGCGTTCGTATCGTGAATCAAATCGCGTACATCTGTACGTTAAATGAGAATTGAATTTTACACGGATGGTCAGTTCAATCAACTAGCGATTAACTGGTACCGTGTTGATACTTCACCGTTAATTGTTGACATGTTCTGTTACAAATTTGTGATTAAACTTCCGTTGTGCGTAGCCGATATCATTGTTTTGTGTCATTGTATATTATTGTATAATTAAGAATACATTCGCGTCAAACGTATTATGAAATTAATAGATGTGTCTTTTGGGAATTAACGATTATTGTAATAATGAATGTGCGTCGTATAATAAGAGCAATCAAATTGTTTGCGAAAAAAATATGGGATTGTAATTTGCGTATTTTAATATTAATTTCTATCAGCAGATAATTCTATATTATGGGGCTGACAACGATAGAGAAATTGTATTCTTTAGATTCGCTTTAATTATCGATCACTGCCCGTAAAAAGAGACAAACATAACATATATCGAAACAGCAGTACGTTTAATCTATCGAGTGTGTAAATAATAATAAATCATAACGAATATTTTCCGTACTTGTTAGAAAGTAAATGTACTGAGATAATAATCCTTGAATTTTCTCGTTCGTCCGCCATAAGTCACATAACGATCAAACGAATATGAATATACGACGCGGCTATAAACAAAAGAGAAATACGAATGTAATGAAACACTCGCTGTCAATTGAAAACGTTCAGGCACGGATTAAGTGACATGTTGAATTTTAATGAAATGCTCAACAGCATGCAAACATCCGTTTGTAATTGCAAAATATTTTCACTTTTGTTTGTCAATTAGACATTATATGTAATAATGCGATAATTATCGATAAATTTCTATTATATAATTTTCGATCCATATATTATCACGTTAAAAAAATTATGTCTACAGCTTATCTGATATGTCAATGCAATTTTTGTCAAAAACTTGCGACTTTTCTTCAGCAAAAATTAATATGACTTCGTCAATTTTTTATATTTTATATTTTCTGTCCAATAATTGGATATTTGTAAATTCTCTTTTTTGCAAATGATAATTTATGCATATTCTAAACATAAGAATCAAAGTATCTTAATCTGTGCCTGTAGTAATGTATTGTATATGGTTTCGTATTAAAAGAAGCATTTACATGCTTACTTGCTGTAATAAACATGTACTATTCCTGTTCCTAAAAGATGCATATAAGAATATGTTATATAAATATCACAGCATGTCCCTATACGTGAGAGAAAATATGTCGACGAGAAAAAAATATAAAGAAATATATATATATATACTGTATAAAAATTAAAATTAAATATCTCTTTTCTTTCTTTCAATGTAAATTCCAACCCTCATCCTATCGTATTTTTAGAACAAGTTATATGCACTGTACTAGCATATGTACGGTAAATTTGTGTAACTTGTGTGTTATTAACTCAATAACCGCCATGAAATTATTACTATAATGGAACATAATAAATCATAAAAAGCGCAAACAACTTATTATACAACTATACATCTCTAAAAATTATGGTTAAATAAATTATTGCATGCCATTGTCAATGGAAACTGGCTCTATTTAGGATGCTCTTATGTTCTCTATTTACTTGATTAATTCTACTCGAGATCAAGTATTCAAAGATATAATAGGAAATTTCTATCATTACATGCATTACAAGTCAATGCAAATAAATTTAATACCAAATTAAAGTCAAATCAAATAATATGGCGTGTTAATTATATATAGGAAAGTAGCTTAATAGTGGTATTAAATTATTTAAGCTCGAACAAACGCCTGCTACAACTTTATGACAACGTACCGATGCAAAATCCGGTAAAATACGACAATGGTAAATAATTGTAAATAAATTATGTAAGTAAATTAAATTTCTTTTCCGATTATTTATATATTATTACATAATAAGACTCATACACGCGCATTATGCCATTAATAATCACAACTTCAAGAATTGTCGTAATAATAAAAAATAAAAAAAAATCGATTTTTGTTTTTAAAAAACGAGAATTCTCATATTAAATATCAAAGGACTATATTCCAAAAATTATTAAAAAATCCTTCTACATTTGATTATATATTATATTAATATTGACTAGAATCGCTTTTGCAAATTAGATATATATCTAAATATTTATGTATCATATCCAAAGACTTATAATATTCAAATTGCATTAAACAAATTTTATACAGTGAAATCCTTTTATTTTGAAATATAATCTTTTATTTATCTCCTTTTGAATGAACAAGAATTCTTCTTTCTTTTACCTTACTCTTCCAATACATGTGTTTGTCATATGATCGCGTGTAGGAGAAAACGACCCAGACAATACACGTCCCTAAAAGATGTCTAGAAACGACTTAAAAACGTCGCATCATTCTTTAGTCATTATTGTCTGAAGAGATGGTAAAAGAAAGCACGGTACAACGATATTTTCATTCTGCGCATGTACCATTAGAATAGTGGTGTGATTTTGAAGTAAAATATATACCTTAATCTTCAATTCCGAGGTAAAGAGATTCCATTAGTGCTAAACTCATTAGTGCAATAAATGTCGAAATAGCTACACACGTGTAATAGTGGATTATAGTGTCACATGTTATATGTTAATTGACATATAAGTATATCATAATAAATAATAATGGACCAGTCAGAGAGCATTAACCGGTGAGTAAAGATGTGTGTATGTGTGCATTTATTTATTTATTATATCCGCACATTTAAGTTGCAAATTTTATATATCTACACACACAGATACACACATTATATTGTCTATATACACATGTACAAATTTTACACACTACCGTTTGCGTGGGTGGCTCCATCTCATTTATATAAACTGAATTGTGGGAGAAGGTTCTTTATCCATTCCGGGAAGATTCGAAAACAAGATAAATGAAAATTCTGCGAACGATCGAATGTTAATTCGATTTGATGAGCGCATAACACAAAGCGTAAGTCCATTGTGTGAAAATTATTAAATAGATGAGAGATGCTGAGAATGAAAACAAGTTAAATGACATCTTGAAAAAAATTTCATATTCAAGTCTTAATAATTAGAGCGGATTAGTGAGCCCTGTTCTCTAAAAGAACAATGCTTATTTTGAGCAAAAATATGACTTTTGCCATTTGTCTCTTATTTGTCCTCAGCCTCTCAAATATTGCATCGTCGTGACATTTGTTCTCTAGCGCAAACACGTGCGCTTTATATAACCTCTATCAGTCTAATCTTAAATCGCGTCGATTTATTACACTCGTCGCGAATACTTTCACGATGGTCTCGAGAATATGTATTTGTCTCTCTCGTATCTTATCATTTTCCTGTTCAGTACGCGATAACACTTCACCTGACCGGACCGATCTCCAATGAAAGTTATATATCTTGTGTGACAAGTCTCATTATGAATATAACATTTATTTTATATGAAAAGAAATTTTCCTGCTTGAACATTCATCTATTCTCCAACGTCAATCTTACATGCTTAGTTGAGGCTCATTGATAAGTGCTAGAAGATAGGAATAGTATCAAATATGTTGATCCTTTTATTACATTAGCCATTAGCCTATCATAAAGTGATGTAAAAGTAAGAATAATGTAAGTAGAATGCTTGTTTATGGCTTATATTTGTGTATTTATATTATCTGTGTACTGTCCAATAACATAAATTCTTGTGTAATTAATTGTTAATTATGTGGTATTCTTGAATTATAATATTCAAATGTTGCTTTTCAAATGTTTACTTCTTATATATTAAGCGATACGCAATTTATATAATATATGCCTTTAATGCAGTAATGTTTGTTAATAAAATTTTCAATTTCATATTCTATTTATTCACGTTACAAAAACATAATTTTGATTTCACATATTATTACTTTGTGACTCTACAATTTGTATGACTATATCATGCATTAATTTAGTATTAAATAAGATATCTTATGTACAGTTTGCAAAAAGGCTTTGCTAGAAATACACACTTAAATTATTTACGAAGCATAGAGATTTAACGTATTCAAATACATTTAAATAAGATGTAATTTTAAATAAATTCCGTAAAGGGAATATTATATAATATTTGTATTTAATATATGAATTATTTGCTCTTTTCTTTTCTATACTTTTCATTATATTTCTTACATGTGTTGTTATAGGCCAGGCACTAGCAATGAGATAAAATATATCTTGAAAGCGAAAGAGGAGGAAGAATATGCCATGACTTGTCTAGGGACATATGTATTTGTGGATAAACATTGTAGACAATCATCAGCTTCAAATGATTCATCTGCGAAGCAAATCGATTCTTTATCACTTGCGTATGAAGATCTGTTCACCATGCCTTATAACATCATACAAGATTATGGTTTAATTATAAAACATTTAGATATCAGTCACAATGTGTTTAGTAGGTAAGTGAATATCTCCATAAGTAAGACATGTAACAAAATTTGCAGAAAGATATAAAAAAGATTTGTTTTTTGCTACATAATAATATAGAATTGTTCTTTGGTATTTCAGGAATTTACAGTTTTTATCAGAGTTTGACAATTTGAAATCTCTCAACTTGGATCACAATAAAATAGATGATACTACTGTATTCCCATACATGCCAAATCTTGAGCTTCTGTGGTTGAATCATAACTTTATTCAAAATTTGTATCCCTTTATTAAGAACCTTCATAAGAGTATACCAAATCTTAAATATTTATCTCTCATGGGAAATGAGGCGGCACCTAGTTATCTTAACGGTGGAAGTTTCTTTGAATATCTTCAATACAGGTATGTTAATAGAAATATTTCTTTAATTTTGTAATTTTTTTAAGTTTTATTCTTATCCATTTAATATATTTCGTGTAAATATAAACTGTAACGTTAAACTTTTTAAAAAGGTTATTTGTGCTATCTTGGTTTCCACACTTGATGCACTTGGATGACAGAATAGTGAATGACGAGCAGCTATTAGAGGCTAAGAGACTGTTCAAACGATCATTGTTTGAAGTAGAACTGCCAGAATGCATTAAAGACTTACATAATAAGATGAATATCTTTTCCAAGTCATCAATGCCTGATAGACAAAAAATATCACGAGGAACAAATCTTATTATTTAAACACAGTATTACAGAGGAGCTCAAAGGAAATTTTAAATTATGAGATATTTCTTTAAGAAAGAAATGAGATGATATTTTGTATCCCATTAGAAATATGTGCCAATTATGAAAGCAAAACGTAATACTATGTTTTATAGTGATATATAAACATTCTTTTTAATAGTTATTTTTTATATTATACTCGAACTGCAGCTATACGAACAAATAACTCCTATATTAAATATACTTTAATATATGATATTTGGAATCAGTTTTAAATTATATATTCTGCTTGTAAAAGCATTGCATATTATATTCGCACTAGGCATGCGTGCCTTATTACTTTAAATAAATAGTTTTAGCACAGAATCTTTTTGTAAACTGTATATAAGACGTGAATATTGTTTTATATATTATATATGCGTGAGTATATATGTATGCATGTGTCAGTGGTGATGCGTTTTTATGAACATTTGATAAGAATAAAATTGTTATACAAATATTTAAATACTTTATCTTCTTTTTATCAAATAAATCACAAATTATTTGTATAATAAAATATCTATATAATTTCGATAAAATGTATATATCTGGCAGTACTTGTGCATCATCAGCACTTCAATGAAGAAATAACATAAATTATGCAAAGACGATTTTGATCGAACAAAGCTATCGTTTGAATGATAGAAATAAAATTGAATCGAAAAAAGCTATTATATTTGACGTGGAGATAAAGATGAAATAAAAATTGAATTATTTTACTAAACGTGTTGGAGAAAGAAAGGGCGATCGAATTAGATATTACAAGAGATATAATAAATCGACGCAGCTAATTTTATAGAATTGATCCGTACATACCTCGTAATAATCCAATCGCACCAGCTGCGTTTTCCTCGAATTCCGATAAGAATTCCGTGAAACATGGTGAAGAGGATTTCCGAGGTACACGAGGACGGATCACTGATACCGAAATCACAATAGCAGCGATATCACACGTGATATTTAATAAGTTACGATACGTTTGGAGGCACTCGCGATAACTTTTTGCGCGCAAGATTCACTTTTAGACAATAATAATCGCGAGAAATACGGAGCGATTCGAGGACGATTTCGACACAGTCGCGGCGCGATTCCGTAACTGCAGCAATTCGAATTTAGGAGCTACGCTGTGATTGGTCCGCCGCTTTGACCTCCGAAAATCGTAAGATAGCTCTGTAACATAGATTTCTAATTGTCAATCATTGAAAAGATCGATTAACATAGAGCGTATTTTACTCGAATAATACTTCGATCGGCCAATGAGAAGAAAGAAATATTTGCCTGACCGATAAAAAAAAAAATCGCTCCGATATTTAGATTATAATTTATAATTTATAAAATAATCATTGTCGCGAATTGAAATGTAATATGTTAATAAATAATATACGAGTAGTAATATACGAAAAGTAATACACGTACAGTAACGTAGGAATTGATTGATGAAAAAAAAAAATCGTTCCGATATTTAGATTATAATTTATAATTTATAATTTATAAAATAATCATTGTCGCGAATTGAAATGTAATATGTCAATAAATAATATACGAGTAGTAATATACGAGAAGAGTAATACACGTACAGTAATGTAGGAATTGTCGAGTCGATTAATCGAAAAGAAGCCCTCTGATATATTAATCCATTTAACTATTAATTGAAAATTTACGGAACAATATATTTCAGTATCTAGTACAGAAGGCATCCGAAATCTCTTTACGTTTGGCTAGACATTTTTGAGACAGATATTCTATATAAATACTTCATGGTAGGGCGGCGGATTAAATATTATATTGCGTGTGTTCATCCGTCGTCGAGCGCGCTAATGTTTATGTTTGGCCGTGGCCTTGACATTCCTGTACCGAGCGCCGTGGCTCGAAGGGAAGGAGAAGGGGTAGCGGTGCGACGCGACGCGTTGCGTATGTCGCCGTATTATTTTTCGAAATACGATCACGGAAGTATTTGAAGATGGCAAATTGAGTATTATTATTACAATTACGTTATTAGTATAGATATTTAACGCGTTACGATAACGTGGAGGTATATCTTTTTGCGCGCAAGATTCATTTTTAGACAATATACAATAAAAATTAATAATTGATTAATCATTAAAAAGATAAATTAACATAGAGCCTACTTTACTCAACATAATACATGCTTCGAATAATACTTCGATCGGCCAATCAGGAGAAAGAAATTTTTTGTCCCTAGGTCGATTAAAAAAAAACGATTCCGATCTAGATCATAATTTATAATAATCACAATTGCGAATTGAAATGTAATATAAGAATAAATAATATACGAGAAATAATATACAAGAAGTAAAATACGCGTACAATAATATAGAAATTGTCGAGTCGATTAATCGAAGCGAAAAGAAGTCTAGAAATTTACGGAACGATATATTTCGATATATATCTGCTTTAGTACAGAACGCGTCGGAAGTCTCCTTACGTTTGGTTTAAACATTTTCGAGACAAACATTCTTATATAAATATTTTGTGGTGGGGCGGCTTAAATATTATATTGTGCGTGCGTTCGTCGTTCATAGAGCGCGCTATTGTTTATGTACACCGTGGCCTTGACATTCCCGCGTCGAACTTCGGAGGGATGGTAGCGGAGTGATACGTTGCGTGTGTCGTCGTATTATTTTTCGAAATACAATTACGAAAGTATCTGAAGATGGAGAATTCGGTAATATTATTGCAATTACGTTATTAGTAATACGTAGAAATATTAAATTCCCGCGATAAACGACGAGAATATCGCGACAATAGCTATTTATCGGAGCATATATTTTACGTATTTTATTGCATTATTTAAAGCAGATTATTTGTGAATAGAGGCAATATAGAAAACATAAATTGTATATAAATTAGTAAGTTATTGTTTTATTGCGATATATATGTATACGGACAATAATTATCTCACGAATTATATTTCATAAAACAAGGGGATATAATTGAAATCGAGTTTGCGGCGAGTGGCGAAGTTGGCCGCTAATTAGCGGGTGAATATATCTCAATATCTATTAACCACGTAGCAAAAATTCGACATTTATTTATTCGGCGAGCCGTTAGAACGCGCGTATTTCACTTCGATTAGATAATTAATCGCGTTCTCTCAAATTCGCATCGCATAGTGTCGCGTGCGAATAAAATTGGGAATGTCGTTCAAAATGTCACGCGATTAAGATCGGAAATGCCGTATAAAATATCGCGTACGATTAAAATCGGGAGTGCCGTTCAAAATATCGCGTGATTAACAATAAGATCGGAAGTATCGTATAAAATGTCGCGTACGATTAACGTCGGGAGTGCCGTTCAAAGTGTCGCGCAATCATTTTATTTTGCTAATTAATGCGCGCGCGTGATCGTAATCAATCGTGTTTTTTCGCGAGCGTGTGCTGGGTAAATGCCATAAGAAAGGGAGGACGAACAGGGAGAGGAGGAGGAGGCCCGGGGAGGCATCAGGCAACGGCGGAGCAACCATGAGGTAAGCAGATTATAATTTATTTTGTTTATTATTTATTACTTGTAAAATTATAATAATAGCTCGTTTTTTTCTCTCTTTTATATCACCGCGGGTCATTCATTTCATATCAATGTATAATAATGCATAGAAAGAATTCTAGATTTTTTATTTTGAAATTTTCAAAATTTTTAGTAACTAACGTTTAATAAATAAATTACAATAAAATTCATAACCATACATATACACACACGTGTGCGCGCATACACAAATAAATATATATATATATATATACATATATATAACAGTTAGATCTAAAAATTTTTTTAATGATTTTTATAACGCAATTTTTCATTAAATATTATGTTTACGATACGAATAAGAGTTTAATTGCATACCATTGTTCTTTTTTAAATATTAATTATTTCGAAAATTTCCTTATGTATATAATTTGTGTTTTTTACGTGTTATAGATCAACGTATATATTACAACTCCGCTGTTGCGCATCGGTGTCGGTGAGTACATTACATGTATTGGGTTGAACGGAAAGTTCGTTCCGTTTTTTACTAAGAGATGAAGACCAAAAAAACGGTACAATAATTTTGATGAATGCAATTCAAAGAAAAAAACATTAAGAAACCGATTAGATGTTAATCTTTTCATTAAAAGATTTGAATTAGAAAACGACAACGTGTTCTACGAAGAAATTGTTTAATTTGTGGTTTGCTTTTTCTTTCATTGATATTTATCTTGCTGATATTACGATAGTAACTCAATTTCTTGCTAATGTATAGAAATTCGATCGCAGTATTGTTTGCTTTCCGAATGCAATTTACACGACTTCTTCAGCTGATCACTGAGACGTGCATGCAATGTTAACAGAGTTCGTGAACTAAGTCTCGGTGCACACGAGCGGCAAAAGAGCGCATGACACGTGTGACATAATGTTATATCAAATTATCGCACATATATGTGCGTTATTTAGTTATTTGAATCATATAATCTTAATAAAATTAATTTCGAGCATGTCTCTTTACTATATGCTATATCATCGAGATAAATCAAAACAAATATTCATATGCGCATTATACAGAAATGTCAATATAATTTTTACTTTGAAATTATTTTTTTTTAAATTATCATATATAGTAATATTACCATAATATTTTTTTTTTAAGACAAAAATATTTAAGAATACAATATATGTGTATATAAAATTTAATACGGATATAATAAAATATATATATTTCCATTTATATAATTAAAATCTATTATAAAATTTTATACCGCGATATGTATGAAAAAAAAATTTTGCTACAAGTCAAAATTGACTTAGCGTCCGCTGTGTATGCGAGTGTTACGTTGTTCGCTGTCCAAAGATTAATAAATTAAAGATAAACGTGGAATCGGTTTGTCGTTAGCGAAAAATTTATAGAAGACTTTCGTAAATGGTTTTATTTTTTGTGTAAAATATTAAGTGTTCGCAAATGTAGAATTTTAGATTAAATCTCCGTTATCTGCATATTCCGCGCGCCACGCAAGATTCATCTCGGATCAGGTATTCGATATTGGTTTCATGCATAAAACATTCATCCCGGTGGTGAGATGCATTTCACGTTTCGTTCTCACGCTTACCTCGAATATATTACGCAGAACCGATGTCGTGTGAAAATCCGTTTAATCGCGACATCGAACGTGATCGCGTCGCAATTGCCTTCCGGTCGTGCGACAATAATCTTCACGCGGAAATTGCACATGTATGTGTATGTGTGTTTGCAAAAGGATTTACCGCCCGGCTTACTTTATTGACAATGAATCGTTGGTATCCTATCGTTGAAGGTTGTCCGACTTTACTTGTATCGATTATCGAATAGCAATGATGCCGATTTCGATTAGATTTTTTTCGAGGCGTAACATCCATGAAGAACGGATATTATTTTTTGGGGACAAATCTAACGCGAATTTTACGAGAGAAACACATGTTTATATTATCATGCGAATGATTAATATGAAAAACTTTAGTCCCGAATTGTTGAGTACAAAGAAATGCGAACTTTACGCAAAATGAGATAATTATCTCTAAAAAAATTTAAAGTACTTTTTTTAAATAATATTATTTATGTAATCTATACGAATCTATACGAATTGTTTCAAAATACATGTATCTCTGATTAGAGATTGTTCTAAATTTATATGTGCAACATATTGTATTATATTCATTTATAAAACTTTTCAAATGCTTTTATTAGATTTAAATCAACAAAGTTATATAGGTATTAGAGACATACATGTTTCTCGACAAGTTTTAAACTAAATAATTATTTGATTAATAGCATGAATAAGCAAATTCGAGTAAATTTGGTTATGCTTGCACACATGAGGGAATATGTGTCTTCACACTTAACAAGCAATACACTACGAGAGAAACTTGGAAGTGCGTAATAACTAGAATTGAAATTAATGTTAAAAGTCGCTTACACTACCATAATCCGAGATTTATTGCTGAAAATTTATTATATAAGATATAAAAAATAAAGTAAAATCTTCGGAGGTTTTTTATTATGTAATTGTTGCATAATAGGAAGTTATATAAAATCACATTAACAGATAGATTGACATATCTAGTATTGATATTAATTATTCTAATGTTAATTACTTTCTTTTTTTCTATTTCAAATCATTTTGTGTAATACATATTTTTTAGAAATTTCTTAATTAAGAAAAATTGCTGATTATTAGACATTTTTGTTGCATAATATATTGTTACAATACGCATAATATATGATTATAATGCAATATAAAATTAATTTTTAATTAAAACAAGATCTATGAAATTTTATTAATATTTAATATTTCGCATTCTATCTTTCTATTCTGCAACTACATCTTTTGTCGTAATCTTGTTAAATTAACTATGGAAATAACTCAATGCAATCTCGAAGTCTATCTATTACGAAACACAGACACATCTTGTCTCTTCGTAACAAAGTCCCTTTACTTCAGGTATCTTTTTTTAATAGTATACATTCCGGGAAGAGGGGTAGAAGGAAGCGAAAGAATTTGGCTATAGTTTTGCATTATAGGAATTTACTATAGTGCATTAAATGTGCAGCGCCGTATATGTTATATGATACCTCGTGAGAAATTTTGTTCTTTTTACATAAAATTTTAAACATTCTTATATAACGATAACGAAGCACAAATTCTTATTCTTCAGATATTGAGATGTACTGCTATGGATCTATATTATTTCTTTTATGTTTTTTAAATTTAAATTACATATTCTTATATATTCTTATATACATATATATCCTTCAAATTTTAAAAGATTATATATATTATGACAAAGTATGCTTTATAGCGTATTATATATATTTTGAGATTATTGCAGTTTAATGTCAGAATATTTCAAGTCCTGCAATATTATATCTGCTTCTTAATCTTATTGTCAATAAAATTTCACAATATGTTCATAACATTAACGAATGAATAAATTATTTAACAGTGCTAAAATTTTTTTATATCTTTGTAAATTACGAAGGACAACATGAAAGCGTTTATGGTCTCGTTGTGGGTCTTAATATTCATCTTACGTTACTGCTATTTTGTGTAGTAATCGAAAGAGAAGGGCAAAAGAAAAACTTGACTAGGCCTTACGCCTTACGCCTTACGCTCATTCACATATTTCAGGCGTTTGTAGAACTGTCTATGCTCGCGTAGAAACATATATTATGTCTATATCTATATATGTACATATATATATGCCCTTCTGTTTACATATCTCGTGCAATATAGCGTTTATATCGTGTATTATTAATATATTAATTTTATTGTGCATTGTTAATATTATAGTATTAAAAATTTGTATTTCAAAATGTCTTGTGAATTTAAGACGTTGTAAAAAGAAGGTACGTACTTTACGCAAATGTGTGATATTTATTTAATACATTTTTTATATTAATTTGTACGCATAGCTCTCAACCGGCAAAAAAAAATATTTTCATAAAATTGTCTTTATTGAATTATCAATATAAAGTCTCGTGTTTTATATTTTTTCTATAAAATTAATTCTCTCTGTTTTCCTGTAGGTTCTATAAGGCACACGCGTGCATATATATTATATATATATGTATATATGTATATAGCATATATCAAAACAGAATGATTAAAATTTTGGTATTTTTTGGAAGCTGGCAAATGAAAGATATTTTAAGTACAGTATACAACAAGTATAAAAGATAATGTTGATTTATCGATATCAAACTGCTAGGCTTGACAGCTTCAAAAATTGGACCGCATCGTACATAAAACCTGAGAAACTTGCAGCAGTTGGTTTTTATTTTACTGGCCGAAATGAGTCAATTAAATGTTTTGAGTGTCATTTAGAAATATCCAAATGGCCAAGCGGACTCGGTGTAGTAGCAAATCACAAAATTTTTTCTCCAAAATGCAAAATTGCTCGTCAATTTTCTTGTAATAATGTACCAACTAATCTCGATGATAAAAGAGATAAATACGTTTATGATATGGAGCATAACGAGTTTATGTTACATATAAAAATAGCCAAGCATCCAGAATATCGCTTTTATCAAGCTCGTTTCGATAGTTTTGCATCGTGGCCTCCAGCGAAACACCAAACTAGGGAGCAGCTAGCAGAAGCGGGATTTTATTATACAGGACACCTGGATGAAGTATCTTGCTTTTATTGTGGCGTAAGTTTGATGGATTGGGACGATAATGAGGAATCTTGGGAAATGCATTATAGACGGTCGTCTACGTGTTTTTATATACTCACGATTAAAGGAGAGAATTATTTACAAAATCTCCAGAAAGATATTTATGTGAGCATTTTTAGTATTTAAATTATATATTTAAATTATACGAAATACACGATATATATTTTTAACATATTAAGATTTAAATTATACGACAGACATATATATTTCTAAGATAAATATTTCTATTTTAAGGAAAAACAAAAAAATCTAGTGATTTATAATACTATCCCAGCAATCAAATTGGCATGTTGTGAAATGAAAACACAAGGTTCCCAAAGTTCACAGACTAACACAAAAAATATAAGAGATAGTATTTCAACGCTGCCAATTAAAAACGATGTAACAAATAACATTTTAACGCCGTCAATTAAAAACAAATATATTAAAAACAAAGATTTTGATAAGTTATATGATACAAAAGCAGAAAGTTCTAAATCTCATGACGAAAGTGATGATGAAAGTAAATTAATATGTACAATTTGCTATGCGAAGGAACGGAACATCTTATTTCTGCCATGCGGTCACATAATATCGTGTATCAATTGTTCCAAAAGGCTAAACAATGTATGCCCTTATTGCCGTAAAGAAATAAAATCCACAATTCGAGTTCGCTATAAATAGTATTCCTGATCGAAATTTATAAATAAAGATTTGATACCAAAATCTGTCGCTTTTTTTTTTTTTTAAGTATTTTAAAATAAGAATATTTTGAAAAATATATTTATTACATAATCGATTCATCTTATATACTTGGTAAAACATATTTTATTATCATAAGTTGCTGTTTACAAAATTCTATAACAAAATAAATTGAACAATTGGCTTATAAAAATCGGTAATATTTTTACAAATTACAAATCATTGTAGAATTATTATAAATTACAAATCAAATAAATATTTTTAACAGATATTGCGAAGAATCTTGTGTGCTTTGTTAAAATATTCGGAAACGTTTACGAAGTGCGTCACACATACACACATCGATACGAAAATGTATAAAAAGAAATAAAGTTTTGACATATTTATCGTGACGACATTTATATATCATATTTTGACATATAATACTTATGCCTTATGCATTAAAAACGCTGTTATAATATCAATCTTTCGTTCAATAAATTATTGCTTCCAGTTATAGCTTCGTTTTATCCATTATGCAAATTATTCTCAAAAGAGTGAAAAAATGCATTCTTTACTTAATCGAATTTCGATCTTCTTTAACAAGAGACAATATTGCATTTATCGGTTAGATAAAAATTGTCCCCATTTAATTATTCTAAATAATCACAAATTGATCAGTCGCTAAGTACTTAACTTAAGCCTCGATTCAATACGATCTACATAAGCGTAATTAATACGCTCGTAATGTCCACCATTTCCACCTATACATCTCCACACAGATACACGAGACTACAAGGTGCGCCTATATCAGACTATATTATTAATATCAGACCGTTGCAAAAAATGCAATTCTGCGAGCGAAACCAATTAACAGAATAACGAACTCTATAATGCGGTTTCCCCGATAGCTGAAGATCGATCGTTTGTCTCTGTTCGTTCATCTGCAACTTAGCTCGCGCAAACATCGTTGTTTCAGCCTTATTCCGGCTGCTGGATATTTTTTTTAATCGACTAGTCACGTTATTTCGCCTATTTTACTCTGCCTTGTATTGCCTCTCTCGCTTCATCGTGGCGGGAGCGATACTGTCGTCGTGACGATTCTGATGAGATTATAACGTAATCTCACACAATCGCTTTCCCCGCACGCGTTCCGCGCTCGCTTCCCGTAAACTATCCTCAGATCCGCATTATGTTTACGGGCAAACGGATGCAATTGTTTTGTGTGACCAGCCAATTAATTAAGAACTTCAACGATAGGCTTTTGCCCTCTCTGTCCAGGCGAACAGATCCACGCTGGGTATCGCCTCGAAATCTGTGCAGTGTCTCAACTCGTTTCTGAAATATCAAAGAGGCAATATTAAATAATGAGTATAATAAGAATCTCGGGTATCTTAATAATTTAAAACGCGTCATAGAAATAATTGTATTTACCCGGCTTGAGGCTTGAGGAATACATTGCGCTGCATGTGAGTGATGCTGTCACCATTGTCGCAGAATATTCGCGCTAAGGAGACATTATGCAATTGAACTAATTGCTCTGTAACAAAAAGAGATAATTAATCAGAAATGGAAATAAATAATAATGCATTAACTCGGAATACATAATATGATATGCCAACTTACCAGGCGTGAAGGGATGCGGTTGCATCGCGGAATCGTAGAAATACCTGTCGGTACGTTGAGATCGAGAGAACTGCTCATAAATGAGACAACGGAAAGTTGGACCAACCATGCCGTCGTCCGCCGGTCTCTCCGCCATACCACCCACAATAAGATCGACGTCGTTGGGATGGGAATAGGTTGTACGCAGTTTTTTCACCATCTAATAATTGATCGATGATAATTGTATCGATGATTTACTTGTCTTAAGAATATCAGATGCAAGAAGAGAAACATTTTTCAAGCTTACTTCCGTGGGAATGTAATCTAAGAAATCGTCAAACGTTCTGGCGGCAGAAAGTCTGCAATATCTGCGATAATAATTGTATCCTGGCAAGCCATGATCGCGACCACGTTGGATATCCAAGCTGACGGCATCCAAACCTAAATTATTGCCATTACTAGTGTATAATTTGCTTGTCATCTGCAATGCAAAAGTAACGATTATTATGAGAGATTCTTTCCGATCGTATTATTAGCAAAATTTTTCCTTGTATAAAGGAAAAAAAAGAACGTTTGATACCGCACTTACGTCGGGTATAAGACTAATGTCCATTCTCTGGCTAGTCTGAGTAGCAAGACCACGAAGTAATCCGTCAAACACGTCCTCCGATTCGATTACGCGCGGATTGAAAAAGTGCTCCGCCAGATTCAGCGTTCTGTTCTGTTGACGAGAATTATCCGGCAAACTGGAACAAGATAAAGAGTCATATATATCGCTGTATACATTTTTATTCTATAAAAATTATATCCTTCGCATTATAATATTTACTTCAGCTTTCCTTGCATCAGTGAATTCAAGAAACGCAGTGCTGCGGTGGCAGCTTCGTTGCTAACCGACGGTTCATCGTGAGAATTATAATTGCGACTATGACTATTTCCTACGATGAGACCGGCGGCACGAATGTATCTTCTACCTAGCAAAATGGGTAGCCATTCTTTGTAAGTGACATGTTGAATCTCAGCAATTACGAAGCGCCTAGCCTCCTGATACAGGATCTCGTCCGACCAATCCGGATTCAATTTGGCAAGTTCATCGGCGATGCGATTATGCTCGCGAAGCCAGATCGTGTGGATCACGGCTAACTGAGGTTCAATATTCACGCGATCGTCACCTGGTAGACGTATATTTGTCGAAATAATTTAAATTGTCTCGTGACAAATATACACACGATATGTATAAATGAAATTGACATGTACCAGAATTGTAGCAATTTTCTCCGCATTGCGATGCGAGTTCGGCATCTCCTCTTGGCAAGTACTCGTGATTGTTTCGCACGTTAACGCGAAGATGACCGCCTTCAAAAGTGCGGAGCTCGCGAGATTTTTTCAAGGTAGATCCGTAAATTGTCGAACCGTCCAAAAAGTGGCTCACCTGATTCATCTGCAAAATATATATATTGAGTTTTATATAAGATAATTATATTATATTTTTTTGAAGTAAGATGCTAAACTATCACAATCTCGAATTCGGAAAGTAATAATCGCGTACCTGTTCCACTGGTCCGAAAGTGCAGTCCGATCTTAAGACAGGTAAAGAGCGAACGTAATTCATGCATCGAACGTAATGTTCGCCATAAACGGGATCGCGTTCTGGCACGCTGATAGGAGAACAATCTGGATGTATATGACGCGGTGACAGAGTATCTCCATCAGGTTGACAGCAAGAGATCGGTTTTCCAGTTGAGACTGTAATTAAAAAATAATTTTTTTAATGATGAAATTATGGCGAAGAGAGAATTGACATATTTTACAGATTTACTTGACGCTTGCTTTGACACATCATTTCTAAATTTTGATATCATACAATTTTGATAACGAATACAATAACGTTTTTTAAGAAATTTTTCATGAAATTATATCACATGCGAATATCGATTTATCTAATAAGAAATATATATTTTCTATTATTCAAATTCGATTGAGATTATAAAATTATATTAAATCGATAAACACTTGCACACTTTTTACGAAACAGATGAGAAATTAATAAATCTACGCGCTGGGGCTCAAATTAGACATTTAAATTTATCCATACAAATTTATCCACTTACCCATTTTACGAACTGCGGTGTGAGCTATGTCGTGAGCGATAAATTGGCTCCATTCCATCACGGCCAGTGTTCTGCTTGCATCTGATTGATCGTTCGCAATGGACAAAGCGGCGCTTATGAGCCTCGAGCTTGGCAGTGGTTTCTTCGTTTGTCCAATATGCCTCGGTTCTTGGATGCCTGCCCAAATCGAACATTAAATCTCTGTCGCGTGAACAGTACAAAGTCGCAAAATCGGAGTAAATCGGTGCTATTTTGGCGCGACGTGGTGCTTTCGCCAAACACTCGCGAGACAGAATAAATCATAATTATCAAGTCGCGTGAAGAGCAAAATCGTAATGGAAAACGATACGACAATTCATAAAATAATTAATCCGCATCTGTGAACGCGAATACACTCGCATAATATTGAAATTATATCTTATCATTGTGATTACTCCGATTTTAGCGAGCTGAAATACGCGCGCGCGCTTAAAATGGTATGCGTGGCAATGTAGCACGAGAGAAGATTACAAGAATGTCTATAGCTGCATAGAAATATTCTGCTCTAGCTATATAAATAGGCGAGTTTATTGCCGGCTGTACTAATCTTGAAATCCTAACTGCGCCTGCCTATCTTGCCCGCGCGATAAATTTAACAGGGAACGATCAGGGAAGTAATTTCTTTTGCATCACAAACATGCGCGGAACGAATCATAAACAAGCGTGTTATTATCGCTGACATAATTATATCGTCCATTCGCGAGAATTAATTTCGTTTTTGGTACTGATCGGTCCCTGAAGAATCCTAAATCTCGTGCTGCAAAGCGAGTAAGTACTTCGACTACTTCGACTTGTACGTTCTGATGCGTTGTCGAACGACGAGCCGTTTGTTGTTGCTGTTAAAGCGTGGCAGAGACGCGATTGTGAAACGATCGGATTTAATCGATACCCTGGCATCGAAGTTACGGCCGCTCGGATCGAGAACGCTCGCAGAAACGTCCCGCGAACTTATCTGATATAGATGTAGATGATCGATGAAGGCGTTCGAACGAGTGAACCGAATTGGGAGAAGATTCTAAATTGTGATTTTTAAAGATATAGAGAATTCGCCGCGAATGTGACAAAAGTGTTTCTACGAGCAATTTATGTTAAAAGATGAGAAATTCAAGCGATATGTGAGAATGAAGACTATCACTATTTTATCAAATAAAAAATTTACGCTTGGAAATATGATATGCTTCTACTCTTTTCACCCGGAGGCGCGTATATCGCGTAAAATATGTATATATTAGCCGGCAAAACTATCTATTAGATGCGGCTAAATTAGATATGACTCCCAAGTCGAGTCCCCTCGCTCGGGTACCTTCGCGAGAGCCGCGTATTGGCGCGAATTGAACAGAAAAGAATTCGAACTAGTGTTACATAATAAATATGATACATTATTAGGTATATCCGAATTAGTTTACATACACATTTTCTACTGCTGGATAGAATCTCCCGACCGGGGCACCTATTGTAGGCAGTATTATTCACTGCTACACTCAGGCATTTTATGCTCTATGTGCCTTATCGCACAACAACTGTAATGCAAATCACAGAATATAATTTGTTAAGCCAATCGACGAACGTTTATCCATTTGCGCCCAAGGATTAGTATGCGTGTACGATTTCATATATGTGTATATATATACATGTATGTCCGTATGCATGTACGCATCTAGTATATATCGTGTTTATACACATGCATACATATATATGTGTCTACGTATGTATATGTATATACGTGAATGTGTTTTATGGAGATGATAAGTCGGGTAGGTAGGTTAGTAGATCGAGGTTGCTGGTTCGTGATGAGACAACATCCAAAGACGTTATTCTGCTCGGATGGAAAAATCAAAAATGCAGCGATATCTAATCGGTAAGCTTTGGATGATACCGGACACGAAAAAAGTGCGCCGTGACATAAATCGTAGAAAACAAATCGTTCGCAATTTTATCGTGAATTCTTCGCAATGCGAACTCTTTAACATTTTCTAATCATATTACGCTGTTTATAGATTAGAACTTTCCACGCGCGATATTATAACAAAAATATCGATTATCTTGTATATTTGTTTTCTATGAGCGAGATAGCTGACATAGAATACATGATTATATTTGTATCATACAAATGATATCCGCAAAATATCAAATTCACGCATGTTTGATTGGATCCTTTCGATAAAAAATAGTTTTTATTATGTTCTTATATTCCCATTTTTTAAATTTTAATACATGGATCCGATATTTTATTCTGATTTTAATATTACAGATTAAAAGACAAAATATAACAGGCGGAAAATAGAAATAATAATGAGACTCGATTAATAACAATCAATATTTTTAATCCTTAGAATGCGAACAGATTATCGTTGACTAAATTTACTAATTTATATCAGCTTCATTTATTCTCGTTTTTTAAGTATTGATTTCAAACTCATATGTTTCGTACTCTAGTATTAAAGTGTGTTAACTAAACTCTTAGGTGTGAAAAAATTCTAAGTATCTTGGAATGAATCTATTTATATCTTGAAAAAAGCGCGCAAGACACAAAAGCTAATGCATCAACAATGAATGACATTGACATAATGCGGGTAATGCGGTGTGTCGTTTAGTGAATTCATGTCCCATGTAATAAGAAGCTCGAGAATCTCGCAAGTCCGCAGAAAGAGAATACAATAATACCGGTCTCTTTATCTGACCCGAGTGGACTCGAGTGGAGTGAAAACAAAATTATGCATCCCTCTTTATCTGCGTTAACATAACCGCGGTATGACACATGTAGGTATTTATCACTCTACTACGACTGTGCGAGTAGATAATGTATAATCGCCGTTGCACAGTCGTCATTATTTCTAACTGTCATTTCCCAATAAAAATATCTGCAAGGATGACTAAATGGTACGAATTTTTATCACCACGTATCTTGTCGCGATGACGCATTCGCTATGTTTTTTTGAAACGCACGTAACAATATAATCGATATGCAACTGCGAACGAGCATCGCACAAAGCAACGCTTACCTAACACCAGTTATTATTCGCGACATTCGCGGTAAACATTCTAAGTGCACGTAGTCAAATTAAAAAACGCGAAGAATTTTCAATGTTTTGTATAATCGTCGTAATCTTATCATTCTCTATCCATTACGATAACATTGTTGATATGTCGGTATATCTAATACTTTTGATTCGAGAAACTCGCATACGATTTCGCGCAATTTACTTTATTCAAAAAAATCTTGTCTCACTCGAAACTGACCCTATCAGGAGGCAGATAATTTCCCAAGGGGTAGAATCGGGCAGAAGGAGGAGAGGGGATTGACTTGAATGGAATTGCGGAAAAAAAAGGAAAGCGCAAAACGTTCAGAGGCTGCAAATAATTATACCATTATTATTCCACACAAAAATTAACGACAAAGAGCGCGCATTTGCAAACCGCTCTGTTACGAAATTTCGTCCCGTGCAAGATCCCAGGGGTTGAGGTATGATTCGCGCGCGGGGGCTTATTCCGCGACTGGATCGAAAGAGTACGATGTGACGCGCGATCAGCAATTATTTCCCTAATAATATAGTAACGCGACGATTGATATGTGCAATTCAAGCCTGGACGGGTGATAAGAGAACGATGCCGTATCGCGAACTAATATCGTTGACAAATGGAAGCGCGATGGGAGGGCTAGAAAGAGAGGGAGAGGAAGCGCGATCACGATAGGAGACACCCTTACCGTCGAAATATTGGGAGAACAGAACTCTGGTGTACGCAGTCATGGCGCTGCCCCAGCTCGGATTCTCAATGTTGTTGCAAGTGCCGTCGATGCTGCGGTACTTTGACATTTCGTCGCATTCCACGCTATACACCGTGGCGCAAGATTCACCGAGCGGGGTACCCTGCAGACCGAGCGTCGATATGTAGCGGGCGCAGTCATTCTTATCTAAACCAAACCTGCGATAAAATCACATAAATTCAGATACGAATGTCGATTAATTTCGGCCTGCAAGGAAAAGGATATCGAGATTCGATAATGATCGATAATAATAAATTATGTATTAACAATATTGCAGAATCCGTAATCTCTGTACAGTGGAATATCGTATTTGACGATTAATAAAGATAAAAATATTTGGAAGATATCTCAATTAATTAATCAAATGCGTACCTGCGGCAGTTTTGGTGCACGAGATACGACGATGCTTTCGTCGCTACGATGGCACCGATACTCCTCTCGAAAGCATCTGTGGATGGATAAGAATCCCAGAATTGTTTCTGAGCCGGACTCTGTGCCTGGAGTTCGATACCAGCATTCGCGATATTTCTCTCAAGAGTCCTCATGTGATTGATCAGCGTTTGCGCGAATGCGATCGAGTTGTTTAGAGTAGTTCCATCGATCCTGGGCAATCTTCGATTTCCGAAACGGCCCGTGTCCACGACGGCATCTGAGCCGTAGTTAATGGTTGGTAATCCTGAAAACGGTTCTTTGGAACATTCCGAGATAATGAGTGAACTATAATTTAAATAACATGCGATGTAAAATAAATTAAAATGCGATGTATCGAAAAATATCATTTAACAAAACTTTCGACGTTCAACTTGAACCTTCATTCCGAAATAAGACCGATCGAATATTGTCTGGCATGTCTGGATCATTTCCAATAATTGTTAAATCGACGCGAGCTTAAAGATAGATAGTACACGTAATAATGTTAAAATTACGAATTTATTTTTTCGCCGAAAATGTGCGATTCTGTAGAAAAAAGTAGTACAAAATATGTAAAATGTATTTAAAAACAGACCATAGAAACACCACGTTTCAACACTCCATTAATTATACGACAGTAATTTCAACCGAGATTTCTACCAAGATATTTATGGAAATATTTGCGGGAGCTAAAATCATAAAATTGCTCTCTCGACCTTTCATATTTCGCGGCGTGAGATTTTTGATTAAATCCGATTGCAGTGGATACTTACCAGCGGCAAGATAATTCTGCAGTGAGTCGGGCACCTTGTACGTGCCGATTGAATGAGAGTGCCCCAGGAAGCCCAACGTCTGCAGGGACACCCAGAGAATCGCCAAAGTGGCAACGGAGCCCGCCATAACACCACCGGCTGCACAAAACGAAATAACTTAACTAATAAAATCATTGAGACGAGATGCTCTACTCTATATCCCAACATGTGACTCACGCACCGGCCCTGCGTTTTAATTCGTACGCGCGATGCGCAAAGTGAGCGTCGTTGGCTCTCGTCGCGAATGAAAATGTGATATTAATATCGCGTAGCTCGTCCGAGAAAGGATGTCACCGCGCTTCGTTTGGCTCCCGTCCCGTTAACGAATACATATATACCAGATATGTATACATACAGTGTATTGAGTGATCGTTAATTAACGATGAATTCATGAAGTTATGCTTTCTTATTATACATTATTTATCACCGAATAATATTGCCATATTCATGTCGCACGTTTGTGAAAATGTATTCGATAGTCGGACTTTGATTCTTATCTCATGTTGATATTGAACGCAATTTCAAAACACTCCGATTAAATATAATTAGTCCGACTTGATTGCTCTAATCATCTACAATAATAAGGCTGACTGTATTTAACGCATCTAAAACATGCCCACGTGTATGTAAATTTGATCTTCAGAGCAGAGACTTTTATTTTCTTATTCGTAGTACTTAAAATAAAAATATCCGCTTTGTGTTCACGTGCTCGCTGAAATGTTACGGTTCTCATCGGTGTGAACTGAAACGTAAGATATTCTAAAAAACTTTCGCCGAGACAGTTACCGCGAACGCTTACCGACTTACGTCGTTTCGATTTTATGTTATCTTTGATGTTTTTCTCATTACGAAAATCATCAATATTTTTTTATTATCGTCAACATATTTTGTTAGTGTATAGTATGCAATATACTCCATGTGGTATTAAATTTTATACGATGCGATGCTGAGACAGACAAACTTCTAATCTTATCTTAATGAATTTGCAACGAAATGTATTTGCATTTCAATGAAATGAAAATGAAACATTTCATAAATAATGTCTAAAAAAATATAATCTAAATCATAATAATGTCTAAAAAAAAAATTCTGTAAATAAATTCATTAAGAAATCGCGAGAGTATAAAAAATAGAAATGCATCTTACAGGATGCAAAGTTAGGGTTTATCAAGTGCATAATGGTAAATGCGAGCGCTAAATGATAAACGGCGTATTTTTTCACGTTCCTTTGCGACCTTCGCGTATGTTGTTGGTTATTTATAGGCCGTGTTTTAGCGAGACTATATCGGTGAAATAGCATGTGTCTGTGTGGAATTCATCCTATTCGTATCTCGTTAATACGGTAAACACGCGCTGTTCACGTGCATAACACATGGCCAGATGTACGAGTAATTCTATTCGTTATCACGTTGATAACACGCTCCTCCTTTACGATCGCATATAGCGAGTGTTTTGACGAGGTGACAAGGCAATGAGAGCTATTTCCGCCTGTCTGGAATACCAGATTAGACTAAAATTAGATAATAGCGGGCCTTTAATTTGATTAAATTATTAATAATATTTATTGCATTATGATTTTCATTTAAAATTATTGGATTCTGATTCTCTAATATTATATCACCACTGATATTCTTCTCGTAATTATATCGATACGATTAAGGATTTATTTTGATCTCGAAAGCGATAGCAACAATTTATGCAAAAAAATATTCTATAACTTGAAGAAGTTATTGACTCATAACACGTATGCAAATTGCAGCTGCTTGATGCGCAATCATCATCGGATCATTTCTATGTATGTCTATCGCGAGCAAGAAAACACTATAATTGAAAATGCAAACGTTCATTCGTG